TGGGATCCACCGTCCATTATGCTCCCCAGGGGCAGCTGGGCTCCCCCTTCCTGTACCCTGTGGGGAAGTGGGGCGGGGGGGGGACAGGGAAAATCGACCTGCACCCGGTGACACCTCTGCTTTTTGGAAAGAGGCGACTCCTAGGAAGGGCAGGCCCAGACTGACCGCTAAGGGGCTCCTGCGGCCGAGGGGGCAGGAGAGCATGGCGGAGGGGGGAGGCTCTGGGCAGGCAGACTGAGCCCCACCCTCAGCCCCGCTGGACCCCTGCAGGGGCCTTTCTCGGAGGCCCACTGGCCGCAACTGGCCAGGCCACGAAAGCTGCCGCCCCGTTGACCCCCTCCCTGGCAGTCTCTCCAGAGGGGGCTCTCTTGATGCGCTGGGCTTCCAAGGACCCTGGCCGTCCGAGGGCGCTTGGCCCCTGGGAGGCGCCTCAGAGGGCCCCAGCCCTCAGGCAGGGTCTCAGGGTCAAAGAAGGGGGTCACATCAGCTCTGAGGTCACAGAGGCCTTGTCTCCCCCTTGCCAGGCTGCCCAGCTGGGGGGAGGCTGCCCCATGGTGCCCTGGGCCACCCTGGCCCTCGTGGCGGCCAATGTGGCCTTCTTCTGCCGCCCCGTCCACCCCCCCAGCGGGGCCTGCCTGAGCGTGCAGGCCGTGTGGGGCTGGGGCCAGTGGGGCCGGCTGCTCTGGGCCCCCTTCCACCACCTGGGCCTCTTCCACCTGCTCCTCAACATGGCCACCCTCCTCTGGCTGGGCTGGGACCTGGAGCAGGAGGTCGGCACCCTCCGGGCGGGGGCCCTGCTGCTGGCCCTGGCCCTGCTGGGGGGGCTGCTCCACCTGGGGCTCAACTCTCTGCTGGCGCTGGTGACGGGGCAGCCGTGGTACCGGGAGCACTGCGCGGTGGGCTTCTCAGGTGCCGCCTTCCCCCCCCCCAGTGGTCTCCGAAGCCCAGGAGCGAGCGGGAGGACATAGAGGGGGGCTGGCCAGTGAGGAGAGGGCCCCGAGCCAGCTGTGGGTGCCAGAAGGGGGTGGGTGGGCGTTGGGACCCCTCCCTTCCCTCCTGCCTCACAGGGGCCCCTCCTCCTGTCCCGGTGCACCGCAGGGGTCCTCTTTTCCCTGGAAGCGATGGGCCGGCAGGCGGAGGCCTTCCCCGTGGCAACCATGGCTGCAGGCATCACCCTGACGACCAGGTGGATCTGCGTTCTGGAGTGCCTGGGCCTGGCCCTCTTCTACCCCAGGTAAGGACTGGGGGTGTCACACTCAAGACCCCCCCCTTAGTCTGGCCCCGGAGACCGGCCTGGGGCTTCCGGACTGCTCCCTCGCAGGGTTTGGAGAGCTCCCCCTTTGAGTGGGGCTCCTCCCACCTGCCAGGCAGCCCTGACCCCCCAAGGCAGACCAAGGGGGGGACCTCTCCTCCATGACTCCCTCCTTAAAGCCACCCCAGCCGGTGGCCACCACCGTGTCTCAAACTCGCCAGAACGCGAGAAGCGGCCTTTTCCATCCGCCCAAGGGCCCTCCTAGGCCAGAGGCCCGCAAGGAGAGGCAGGTGGTCCTGTCGGAGGGTCCCGGAGGCCTCTGCTCCCACTCTTCAGAAGGGCCTTCAACGCCACGCCGCTCACGGGCGACCACGGAACATCACTGTAGGTTCCCCGACGCCTCTGGGCCTGGATGGCTTCCTGGCCATCTTTATGGCACCGGATCGTGTGCGTTTAATTAAATGTTTAGCTACATAAAAGAAATTAGACTTGGATTTAGAGGCAACTGGACCGAGTTCTGGGTCTGGCCTGCTTCGCTCAGCTCTGGGAGAAGAGCGGCACTCCTGGCCGGCTTAAGCCACTTGAGGAACCTCAAGAGATGTGGGTTGGGAGCCTCGACTGCTTCACCCCTTTCCCAAAGTTGGGAGTTGCTGGCAATAGCCACTTAGGGGGAAGGCAGCCAGGAGGAGCCCCACCTCCAGGCTGCCACCGTGGGTGGGAGAGGGGCGTTGTGGTCCATAATCAAAGCCGCAAATGTGTCCTTGTGCTTCTCTCCCCGACGCAGCAGCTCCTTCACCGGTCACCTCTCTGGCCTCCTGCTTGGGCTGGCTCTGTCCAGCACCGACCTGCTCAGCGAGATCATCTGAAGGACGTGGCCCCCCTCCCGGCTCCGGGGTGGGCGAAGCAGAAAGAGAAGGCCGGGCACCCCCTCCCCAAATACAGCCTCTTCCCTCCCCACCTGGCTCTGCCTCAGTGGTCTCTGTGGGTGGGGAGGAGCCACGCTGGCCTCGCCCTCCAGCCGGCCCCTCGCAATGGACCCCCCACACCAGAATGCCAGGTTGGGACCCTGGCAGGGGCTGCCTCTGCACTGGCCTTCCAGCAGGGGCGCCCTGGGGCCACTGCTGAAGGAAGGCCAGGACCCCCCCAATTGGTTTAGCCTCTAGGACCCCCCCACTGGCACAGGCTGAGCCTGCCCCATCAGCCCCACAAACAAGAGCAGCCCCAGCCCCCCCCCACAACACCTTGGAAGGACCACGATGAGCCTTTTGGAGAGACCAGGATGTCTTCCGTGTCTTGTCCCAAGCAAGCATCACCACAGGCTGTGGCCGCTCCTGGGGGTGGAGGGTGTGTGTGTGTATGTGGGTCCCACCTTGGCAACATTTAAGACTCGTGGACTTCAGCTCCCAGAATTCCCCGGCCACGTCCAACCTTGCCAACTTTTCTGGACTTCAACCCCAAGAATTCTGGCTGGGGAATTCTGGGAGTCGAAATCCACAAGCTCTTTAAAGTCCTCCTGGACTCACACCCCCCTCCCCCGGTGCAGACCCAGCTCAGTGGGGTCCCACTCAGGATTCCAACTTTAACGTCACAGGGATTTTCCGTGGGAGCGCAGCCGGGTCCAACTCAGGCCGTGATCAGCTCGAGGCCGCCTGAGCACGCTCTCCCCATAGAACAGGGGTAGGCAACCTTGGCTCTTTGATGACTCGTGGACTTCAACTCCCAGAATTCCTGAGCCAGCATGGGGGAACTATGCCCCCCTCATGACTCGTGGACTTCAACTCCCAGAATTCCTGAGCCAGCATGGGGGAACTATGGCCCCCTCATGACTCGTGGACTTCAACTCCCAGAATTCCTGAGCCAGCATGGGGGAACTATGGCCCCCTCATGACTCGTGGACTTCAACTCCCAGAATTCCTGAGCCAGCATGGGGGAACTATGGCCCCCTCATGACTCGTGGACTTCAACTCCCAGAATTCCTGAGCCAGCATGGCTCAGCTTGAAAACCTCTCCTTTTCCCCTCAGCATGGCTGGCTGAGGAATTCTGGGAGTTGAAGTCCACGAGTCATGAGGGGGCCACAGTTTCCCCCATGCTGGCTCAGGAATTCTGGGAGTTGAAGTCCATGAGTCATAAAAGAGCCGAGGTTGCCCACCCCTGCCATAGAAGGCATCACCTGGGCACCTCCCCACTCCATCTCGTGTGTGTGTGTGTGTGTGTGTGTGTGTGTGTTGCCTTTGACACCCCCCCATGGGAAACCTCAGCACGCACGCACGCACGCACACACGTGGCGGCTTTTGCAGTCACAAAAAGGAACCGCCTCTGCACCAGGTCGTTAAATACACTTTTTTTTAATCTCTCTCTTCGTATAGATATATCTATAGACATTTTGAGTGCAACACGCTCGTGTTCTCTCTCTCTCTATATAGATTTGGTGAGCATATAGATATAAGCCTTAAAAACGTAGGTCCATATTTTTTTCCCAAAAATATAAACTCCAGTCTTCTTTGGGGGAGCGAGGGGAAGGACTGGGGGTGTGGGGGGGGGTGCTACAAAAGAACGAGGACGGTGAGCAGACCGCTCCCCCCCCCGGGGAGCCCTGGAATGAGATGCTGCAAAGAAGGAACGACGTGCAAAGGAGGCCCCCGCCGTGAGACACCCCCCCGTCCCTCCCCAGGCATGGCTTTGCTGCTGGGGGGGGCTAAGCATAAACAAGCAAGCATCTTTGGCTTGCAGGGGCCGGGCGGGGGGGGAGGTTAAATTTGGCCCGGTCGGATTTTCCAAAATCCCCCCCCCCAAGAGGGTGACTCGGGAGGGGGGGGGCCTTCCAAAAGCACAGCTCTCACTTGTGGACATGACTCAGCAGGCACTGATTGACGAGGGAGGGGGGCCGGGGGTGGAAGACTTTGGAGGGCAGCATTTTGTGAGTGGGGGGGGAGCAGACTCTGGGGCAGAGCTCTCCCGTGGGGCAGGCGAGGGGGGGACATCCAGGCAGAAGGGAGCCCCCCCCCAGCCCAAAGGCTCTGAAAGATATGGCACATGACAGCAGTCCCTCCCCTCCGGAAAGGAAATGGGTGGGAGGGGGCAGCTCCCAGTGCTGCAAAGCGCCCAGAGTGCTGGGAGGGGGCTCCGTCCCCCTCTTCCTTCTCTTCAGGGTCCATTGGGGGCTGTGGCCGGTGCCCCCCCGCTGACCTCACTAGCCGAAGCCTCCCGGACTGACCCCCCTCCACTCCGACGCCCCCCCCCAGGTTTAGTGCAAGAAAAAGCCAAGAGTGAGGAGGAGAGGCAGCTGAGGGGGGGGGTCTCTCTGGCCTCCCCCCCCTAAACTTCCCCTGGCCAGATGCCGCCAGGTGGGCGTGGGGGGAGGGAGGGGAGGGGCCGAAGAGGGGAGAAGTGGCACCAGGCTACACGTAGAGTAGGCCAATTGCACTGCCCCCCCTTCCCCCCCCGATGAAGACCCCCGGGTGGGAGAGGAGCCCCGAGGGAAGAAGCTGCAGCAGACCCAGGCTCTGTGCTGGGGGGGGGAAGGGGAGAGGAGGAGGCCCTTCACAGGGTGTCTTTTGCCTTGGCTGGCTGCCCCCCCCACCCCGCCCACCCCTCCACGGCCCCCGGCTGCCCCCGTGACCCGTCAGGCGCAGCCTTTGGCTTCCTCCAAGGCGGGCCCCTTCCTGGGGATGGAGGCCCTGCTGTGCAGAACTGACCCCCCCCACTCCGGGCCGAGGGTCTCCATCCGCTCCGGAGGCCGGGGGGGGGCTAGGAGAAAGGGTTGGTGGGGGGGTGCTTTGCCGGGCCGAAGCGGGGCGAAGGCGATGCGGCCATCGGGTTCTGTGGGGGGGGGAGAGACAGAGAGCGAGGGTGAGGGAGGGACACAGGCTGCGGCTTCAAGACCCTCCCACTGACCTCTCAGACCCCTCCCCAGAAGCCCCTGCTCAGAGGGGGGGGGCGGAGGAGCAGGCCGGGCCCCCTTACCACAAAAGGGTTGGTGGAGTAGCCGGCGGGCAGTCCAAGCGGCCTCTGTCCGTCTCGGGCTGCAGGAAAGCCTCCAAAGGACGTCCCTGAAGCACAAGGAGGGGGCAGTCAAGAGAGGGGAGCGGCCCACAGCCCTGCCCCCCCCCACCGCTCCCCTGGGAGGCCGGACTCCCTCTTACCCCCGTTGTGCTGCTGACCCACAATGCCCTGGGTGGGGAAGAAGAGGGGCTCCTGCTGCAGTGGGGAAGCGAAGGTGCCGGAGAGCGGGGAGGCCGAGAAGCTGCCGGGGGACCCGACCAGGAAGGTGCCTGCCGGGAGAGGGTCCAGAGTGAAGGGACCTCGGAAGGTCTTCTAGTCCAACCCCCTGCTCCAGCAGGAGACCCTTCGTCATTAACAGACAAGTGGCTGTCCAATTTCTCCGGTTTTGGAGCACCCACAACTTCTGGTGGCAAGCTGTTCCCCTGGTGAATTGTCCTCACAGCCAAGAGGCTTCAGGTTGCTCCTCTCCCTCCTTGACTAGTTTTCATCCGTTGCTTCCCGTCCCGCCTTCGGGGGCTTTGGAGGAAGTGCTCGGCTTTTTCTCTGGGGGCGCTTGCCCCCTTTCCCCTGGGGGCCGGGCCCAGGACGCTGCTGCCCTTGTGGGTCCCCCCCACAGCACCAGTCATTTCTTAGCTCCGTGAAGGGGGCGGGCGGCCAAGCACCCTGGGCTCACGAAGCCCCTCGCGCTAAACCAGGGGTAGGCAACCTTGGCTCTTTTATGACTGGTGGACTTCAACTCCCAGAATTCCTGAGCCAGCTGTGCTGGCTCAGGAATTCTGGGAGTTGAAGTCCACCAGTCATAAAAGAGCCAAGGTTGCCTACCCCTGCGCTAAACTGACCCCTGGAGGAAAGGGGGGCTCCCACTGGGGAACTTCCCACAGCTTTTGAATGGCTCGACCCGCTAAAACTCATGAAACTCAGGACAGCTGGAACCCCGATCCTCCGTAAGAAAAACCCCCAAACCCCGGGGCATTTGGACTGGCACTCGAACCCAGAACAGGGACGGCCAGAGAGAAAGAGAGGAAGGGGCTCGTGGCCCTCCTTCCAGGGCCCCCCACCAGAGAGCTGGCTTCTAAGCAGCGGCCGATCCATCCCGCCAGGGCCTTGGCACCCCGCAACGGCTGGTCCCCGGTCCTCCGGCCAAGGGTCCCACTCTTGACAGGGCCGCCTGGGGGTCCCGGCGGGCTGTCCCCCCCTCCCCGAGCAGAGAGGGCTTACCTTGGGCCAGGCCGTTGGTCTGGAAGGGGTTGGTGGAGGGGAGCGTGGGCTGGGAGACCACCGGGCTGGCAAAGGGGTTGGTGCAGGTCGGAACTGCGGGAGAGAGGCAGGAAGGGGCATCACCCCCTTGCGGCCCTGGGGGTGCCCGCAGCCCCTCGCCCAAACCCAGGAGCGCTACTTACCCCCGAAGGCCGCAGCCGGGCTGGAGGGGGGCAGGACGGGGGACTGGCTGAGGGGCCCGAAGACGCTGCCGGAGGAAAGAGCAGATCAGCGGGAGGGGAGGCACCCCCTCGGCCCAGGGGAGGGCAGCCGAGGGAGGGAACCGCCCGGGCACCAGCGGGGGAGGAGCTACCTGCTCGGGACTCCTCCCATGCGGAAGGCTCCGCCCAGGCTCGGAATGCCCACCCCGGGCTGGCTGGCGGGCGAGGCGGGGAAGGCTCCCACGTGGGCGCCACCTGCAGGGCAGAGGAAGAAGAGCAGCAGTCAAGGGGGCCCTGGCTGGCAGGACACCGAGCGGGACCCCCAGACTCCCCCCTTTCAGTACAAAGGCTCCCCAAAGGAGCTTGGCAAGAGCGCCCCCTTCCCTCCCCCTCGCAGCAGGCAAGCACAGGGCGCCCCCTGCAGCCTAAGGGGTGCTGGGATGGCTGGTCCTCCGACCCCCCCACTCAAAGTGAGCCAAGACACCCCCTCCCCGCGCAAGCATCCCTTCAATCGGAATCAGACTTCTCCCCCTGCCCGGAAGCCCCAGGGCTGAGTCTCCCGAGGCCTGAGGGCAGGGAAGGGGGGGGGAAGAGGGGGCTGCGGTTACCTGCAGGGACCGGCTGGCTCTGGAAAGGGCTGTGGCTGGAGGCTAAGGGGTCCCCAAAAGTCGTCAGGGCCGGGCCTCCCCCAAAGGCATCGAAGCTGGGAAAGGCAGGGTGAGCTGCTACTGGGCCTGGGGGCACAAATGGGGACGGGGGGGGGGGGAACAGAAAGCATTATTCCACCTCAAGGACCACAGATTCCCCCCCCCCCCCCAAAAAGGCAGTGCGGTGTCTACCCTTTCCGAGCACAGAGGCTGCCTTTGGGAGGGGGGGATTCCTCCGGCCACACTGCAGCCTGGAAATCAGGAGGGGGGGTGGGAGTCCGAGGCCCTTTCAAGCCGGTTCACCCTCCCTCCCGGTTCCCCTACAAGCTGGGATGGATTCCAGCATGCTTAACCCCTTCCCTGCCAGCCCCCAGACCCAGATGGATGCCCAGGGTCCCGACTGAGCCCCTCCCCCTTCTGAGACCACCCAGGTCTTCCTCTCTGATAGCCCGGGCTCCCCCGTGCTCGACAGGGAGACCCCCACCCACATTACGAGACCCCCTGCAGCCAGACCGACTCACCTCCAAAGGCAGGGAAGGCAGGCCCAGGTGGGGGGGCCGCAAAGGGGTCCCCCCCTATGTCCGCCAGGAGGTCTGTGCTGGCCTTTTTGGCTGGCTGGGCGGCTGGAGGCGGGGCTTTCTCCGACACCTGCAAGAAAAGGGGGTTACTGGGAAGCAGAAAGCCCCCCCCTCCCCAAGGGTAGCTCCCCTCCCCTCCCCTCCAGACTGCACAAAGCCAGCCGTGAGCCAAGGATGGAGGACCCCCACCCCCGATGCCAGTGGCACAGTGCCTGCCTTTAAGTCATGTGCCAGCTTCTCTAGGCCCACTGCCCCCAAGTGCCGGGACCCCTTGGCTGAACTGGGCCCCCGGAGGAGCCTGCATGCCAGTGGACTGGGTGGAAGGGCCCAGGGGAGCCCCCCCTTTATCCAGGAGCTCTGACCTGGGGGGTCTTGGTGCCGGTCTTGGCTTCCGCAGGGGAACTCTGGGCACTCATAGCGGCTAAGCTTCTGGCCTGGTCAGGCGACACATACCTGGGGGTCAAAACAGGGGACAGGGTGAGCCCCCCCCGGACAGAAGGAAGAAAAGGCAGCTAGGTGGACAAGGGAAAGGGGATTCAGCGGGACCAAGCAAGGTCAAGCCCCTCCTGCCAACTCTCTCGAATGGTTGAGGTGGAAGATGGGCACGCTCGGCGTTTTTAGCCTCGGAGATGCCCTCTCGGCTCCAAATTAGGGGCTGTTTGTGCAAGCCCTGGGAATTTCGGTACGAATTCAGGTCCTTTCAGCGAGGGCAGCCCAGCTGCGTCCGGCTGTTTCTTATTGGATTTTCTGTTAATGTTTTTTTTAAAAAACAAGCTCTTTGGTTAACTTTTCTGTGCATTGGCTGGTTCGTGGGAAACAGCACGGGCTGGCGATCCACCTGCTCTCCTGCCCTGCTGGGATGGACGGGACTTGTTTTCATGGCTGGGACAGCCGAGCCAGCCGAGGGAAACGCCGCAGTGGGAGCGCCTGAATCGATGGCTTTTGCTCCGAGCCAGCCCCACATAGTGCCAGCCCCACACAGCCCCGAGGCTTTGACCTGCACCAGTCAGGACCTCCTCAGGTGCCACAGGGCCGAACCCAGAGCCTCCGCTTGCATGCTCACCATCGCTTCTTCTCGTATTTCTCCTGCAGAAACTCCTTCACTTTCTGAGGGTCCTGAGAATCTGGCAGCAGGGAGGAGCGCGAATCAAAAGACCCCAACCAGATCTTCCGGCAGGCCTGGGGAGGGGGTCCGAACGAGAGGAAAGGGCTAGAAATCGGGACGTCTCTGGAGAGGCTCAGTCGCCCAGGTCCCAGTTGCCCCAAAGGTGTTTCTTCCCCCAAAAGGCAGCCAGGTTTTCTTCCGTTAAGAGTCCAGTTGCCTTTTGGGAAAAGCTCCTTTGGGGCTCCCAATCAGGACTCCGTCGCTCTCTAGGAAGCAAATCCGTTTAATAAAAGGGCGTAATCCCATAAGGGACGCGGTCTCTTCCGCCTGTGGCAAGGAAGGGCTGGGCTGTGTGGCTGGGCTGCTTTTTAAAATGCAAAGATGCTTGCAGCGTTAATTTATATGCACACACACACACACCCAGTTTACATCCTTTTATGCCTTGGGGATGGGAGGGAAATTACCTAATAAATTTATATGCTGCTCAGCTTGTAGGCAGGCAACTCTGGGCAGTTTATCAGATGGTGTGGGACAGGGGTAGGCAACCCTGGCTCTTTTATGGCTCATGGACTTCAACTCCCAGAATTCCTGAGCCAGCCATGCTGAGGGGAAAGGGAGAGGTTTCCAAGCCGAGCCATGCTGGCTCAGGAATTCTGGGAATTGAAGTCCACGAGTAATAAAAGAGCCAAGGTTCCCCACCCCTGACCTAGACCATTTCAATCAATCAAATCAATCAGAATAGAGCTGGAAGGGACCTTGGAGGTCATATAGTCAACCCCCTGCTCAAGTAGGAGACTCTAGACCATTTCAATCAATCAATCAATCAATCAATCAATCAATCAATCAATCAATCAATCAGAATAGAGCTGGAAGAGACCTTGGAGATCATCTAGTCCAACCCCCTGCTCAAGCAGGAGACCCTAGACCAGAGGTAGGCAACCTTGGCTCTTTTATGATGTGTGGACTTCAACTCCCAGAATTCCTGAGCCAGCATGGCTCAGCTTGGAAACCTCTCCCTTTCCCCTCAGCGTGGCTGGCTCAGGAATTCTGGGAGTTGAAGTCCACCAGTCATCAAGAGAGCCAAGGTTGCCTACCCCTGGGGTGGGATGTTACTGGAATCAAAGTGTGCCTGTTCAACCGTTTTATCACCAAAGGCAACACAGACAAGACCCCCCTCCCCGTGACCCCCACTCACTTCATTCCCACGAGACTGGAGGAACTGCACCTCGCCCTCGGTGAAGGTGGTCATGGAGATGGATTTCACCCGGTGAGGGGGATTCAGGCCACGGCTACATGGGGGGGGGGGAGAGGAGGGGGGGAAGAGAAAAGCATTCGTAAGTTACAGTAATGCACAGATAACAGAATGACAGAGTTGGAAGGGACCTTGGAGATCTTCTAGTCCAGGGGTAGGCCACCTTGGCTCTTTTATGACTCGTGGACTTCAACTCCCAGAATTCCTGAGCCAGCACAGCTGGCTCAGGAATTCTGGGAGTTGAAGTCCACGAGTCATAAAAGAGCCAAGGTGGCCTACCCCTGTTCTAGTCCAACCTTGTTTGAGCAGGAGACCATAGACCATTTGAGACAAGTGGCTGTCCAGCCTCTTCTTAAAAACCTCCAGTGATGCAGCCGCCACAACTTCTAGAGGCAAGCAGTTCCACTGGCGAATTGTCCTCACTGTCAGGAAGTTTCTCCTTAATTTCAGGTCGCTTCTCTCCTGGATTAGTTTCCTTCCGTTGCTTCTCGTCCCGCCTTCTGCTGCTTTGGAGAGTAGCCTGACCCCCCCTGGTGCTTTTTCAAAAGGACACTGGACTTCGGTCCTGAACTGAAGCAGCTTTCCTGGATACGGAGCGAAAAGTCTTCAAGGAAACACAAAATCCAGTCGCCTTTTAAAAAAGCACCATGACCTGGATGACTGAGCACCTCCATAGACAGGGGGAGCCCCTCTTCTTTGGGGCAGCCCCTCAAATATTGGAAGACTGCTATCATGTCCCCGCCCCGGGTCCTCCTCTTACAGGCACTGACCGGAGCTGGATGCTCCCTAGGCCCCTAGGAGACAGGGCAGGGCCACGTTTGGGGGTGAATCTTCAGCCTGCAAGAGGACCAGCCGGGTGAGTGGGGCAGCCAACCACGCGGCCAGGACCCTCCTCCCCTCCCCCCATTCTGAGCCGAGATTCAGGGCCAAGCAGCGTCCAGTTCCTGCCCGCAGGCTCTTCCTGGCTCAGTGGCAGCCAAGTTTCCACCCTTCTGAACTGCGGATTCTTCTCCTCCGGCCCCTGGCAGTTAATGATTAAAAGGACCAAACAATTCAGCTCTCAGACCGTCCTTCAGAGAGGGGAAGCAACACGGGGAGGGGCCCAGCTCAACGTGGCTTCAGACCGGGGGGGGGGGCAGATCTGGGTGCTAAATCTTTGTGTTTCCCCAAATCAGACACATCCACAGCTGGCTGGGGAATTCTGGGAGTTGAAGTCAAGTCTAAGAGTTGCCGAGACTGGACACCCCCGTCGGAGCTGATCTCCATGGAGGAAAAGGAAATACAGGCCTCGCTTGCTCCAAACCCATCCATACGCCGAGGATGCCAAGCTCCTGCGGTTGAGCGTTCTCTATCCCTTCAAGACGCCCGGTGAAATTAGGGCCGCGTTTCCTTCTGACACAGGCCTCTTCAGGCCGCGTGGCAGAGGCGAGCAAGTTGCAGCCCGTTTTCAATAGGGAAGCTTTTCTGGATGCTCAACACACCTTCTTCACCTGTTCTTCTTCCAAGTTCAAGATGCTTATTTTCATGGCATCTTCCCCAGCTATCAAGGTCCCCCTTCATAAACTTGGCGTTCCACTTTCCACTGCCCCAATTCTTAGTTTTCACAAACAGGTTAAAGATGTTGTGTGAGCGGTCTTTTAGATCTTGCTTGTCCCCTTTTTTTGCAAGCGTTTATTCCATTTTATTATCAGAGATCTGCCCACGGCACGTTAAGATTGGGGCACAAATTGTGTCTGCTCCAATCACTGCAGTTTCCATCTGCCAAGACCGAATTAAAGGGGTGCCCGGACATCTCCCCTCCTTGCCCCACCGATGCTGGTAGCCCCCATTTGAATTCACGTTCCTATCTGAAGCGGGATCAGCCACCGAGGGTGGCAACAGGCTGCGGGACCAGGAAACGAAATACAGATGTGCAGCTCCCTGCATTGCCCACTTGAAAGAGCTGGCATCGTCCAGAGGCAGCAGCGGGCCAGGGGCTGCCACCCCCAGGGCGACCAGCAGGGTTGGAGAACAGAATAAAAAGGGAAGGACGACAGTGGCAGGAAGCCGGGCATTTCCTTCTTCGAGTCTGATGGGTGGACTTCAACTCCCAGAATTCTCCAGTGAGATAGCAGGATACGGATCTACTCTCTCGGATCCCTTGTGGGTCTGACCTTGAACGGTGGGGGCGCAAAACAGCCTAGAGGTCAACGTTGCTCAACCCTGGCCGCTTGCAGAAGCGTTGACTACAACTCCCAGAATTTGCTGGCTGGGGAATTCTGGGAGTTGCAGTCCACACCTTTGCAAGGAGTCAAGGTTGAGAAACTCGGCTCTCCCTGGCAGAAAATACCTGCAGGCAGGCACAGGTAACGTTTGCACCCTGCAGGTGCCCGGTGTGCTGCTCCTCCCTCCGCCCTCAAAGGGGGGGGGGTCAGGGCTCCCCTCCCCCCACCCAGGCCAGGGGGAGCACCCGAGGAAGGAGGGAGGGAGGGGTCTCCCCCACCCCGCAGACTCACGGGGGGGGGAGAAGCCTTTGCGCCCTGCAGGTGCCAGGTGTGCCAGGTGTGCCGCCCCTCCCCCCCACCCCGACCTTCAAAGGGGCGGGGGGGGCAGGGCTCCCCTTTTACCCCCCTGGAAAGCCCCCCTCCCCACCCAGGACCCCCAGGCCAGGGGCAGCCCCCGGGGAGGGGAGGGAGGGAGGGAGGGAGGGGGGACTCACAGCGCCCCCGAGCAGGCGGTGCAGACGAAGCTGCCGATGGTGATGTCCACGTAGGTGACGCCGCGCTGCCCGCACTCGAAGCACAGGCGGCTGGCCGGCTCCGCGCTCACCAGCTCCCGCACGCGGCGGGACCACAGCTCCGACTCCGAGTCCCGCGGCGAGCCCGGCTTCCTCGAGCCCGGCCCGGACGCGGAGCCCCCGCCGCCCGCCGCCGCCGCCATCCGGGCGCACCTGAGCCCCCGGCTGCCCCCTGTCTCCGCGCATGCGCCGGGCGCCGCCCACCTCGCCCGGCGCATGCTCGCCTCGCCGGGCCCTCGCGCGCACCGTTAGCCTAACGGTTGGGGCAGGGTGTGGCCTGCGCGCGCGCCTGCGCGGAAGCTGTCGGCGTGCTAAGCCTGCCCCGGGGCGGTGTCCTCGCGGCGCATGCGCGCCACTGGCGAAGCGGCCCAGGAGCGCGTGCACGCCGTACGCACGATCCGATGGTCTCTCTGCTTGGGACACGGATCTGTCGCGTGTTTTGCTTGTAACACGAATCTAGTCTCTCCAATCCTTGGCTGGGCTGACTTTGCTAAACAGGACAGAGGCCGTTAGGAAGTTTTAAGAGGGGTGGACTTCAGCTCCCAGAATTCCCCTGGACTGAGGAATTCTGGGAGTTGCAGTCCACGACCCCTCTTAACCTTGCCAAGGTTGAGAAACGTCGGTGTGGGCCTTCTCCAAATCAGCCACACGTTGCAAAAATTTGGGTAGCCTCATGAACCCGGCATGTAACCCCTGAAGACCCCCAACGTGGGCAGCGAGGTGGGCACTGTCCCCCACACTCTCAGATACCCAGGATGCTCTCCCCAAGTGGGTCCCTGTTTTCAACTTCAAGGTCCAGAAAGAATCGGACATCCTCCCAGGAAGCATGGGGGACCGAGGAGAGGCTGGCAAGATGGGCATGCCAGGGCAGCTCAGCTGGCGGGTATCTGGAGGGGCTGCTTCCCTGGCATAGCCCCTCTGGGCATTCGGCCCTCAGGATTGGGGACCTTGCTGGGTTGACATCTACCATAGCATCACATACACATTTAATTGGTATTATATCGTAATTGTTTTGGATTGTTCGTTGCCAAAGTTGTTTGCTTGAGATGGGCAGCTAAAGGAATGAATAAATACAGGGAGACCCCAAGTGAACAGATTGCAAAACCACACATGCCTGCATTATGTTCTGTTGTTAATTAATTAACTATTAATTAAATTTATTTGCCACCCATCCGGTTTTGAAACGACTGGCGGCTTGCAGCATAAAAACATTAAAATCATCAGAAATAAATTTTCCTGTTGGCAGTTAAGCAGAGATATTCGTCACCTGTCGATTACCCCTTTTTTTATTTAAAATTTATGTGTTTAAATTTCTGGGGCATTCCAGCTTTCAGTTTAAATCAAGATAAATTGTATGTCTCTGAAAACAGCCAATTTCGCTTCAAATGGTTCTTGTTAGGGGATTATTTTCTGCCCTTCCTTTTATCAATTGTGCTTTGACTGGTCAAGGACCAAAATAAAGTTTCTGGCTGTAGCAGAACCAGCAAGCCTGCATTGGGAAGACTGTAGGGGTGACACGATAGCAGTCTTCCAATATTTGAGGGGCTGCCCCAAAGAAGAGGGGGTCAAGCTATTCTCCAAAGCACCCGAAGGCAGGACAAGAAGCAACGGATGGAAACTAATCAAGGAGAGAAGCAACCTGGAACGAAGGAGAAACTTCCCTAACAGTGAGGACAATTAACCAGTGCCTCCAGAATGTGTGAATGCTCCAACACTGGAAGTTTTTAAGATTGCACAGCCACTTGTCTGGAATGGTATAGGCCATAGGGTCTCCTGCTTGAGCAGGGGGTTGGACTAGAAGACCTCCAAGGTCCCTTCCAATTCTGTTATGCTGTAATCCCACATCAATTAACCAGTGGAACGGCTTGCCTCCAGAACTTGTAGGTACTTCATCACTGGAGGCTTTTAAGAAGAGACGGGGCAAAAATTTGTCTGAAATGGAACTCCTGCCTTAGCAGAAGAGGTTGGCAGTGTTTCTCAACCTTGGCAACTTTACGATGTGTGGACTTCAACTCCCAAAATTCTCCAGCTAGCGTTGCTAGCTGGAGAATTCTGGGAGTTGAAGTCCACACATCGTAAAGTTGCCAAGGTTGAGAAACACTGATCTACGAGGTCCTTTCCGACTCTTGTTATTCTGTGGTTCTGTTATTCTGACTGCACTACGACCCTTTTTTGCCATTGCCAAACAGCCTCGTGAAGCAAAAGCTAATATTTGGGCAGGCACCCAGTGTGCCCTGGGCTACTGGGAAGATTTTGGCTTCGGGATGATGGTCTTTGAACAGTTGGCAGCCTGCAACAATTTGAGGCGTTTCCCTCCCAATGCAGGAGCCAGGCTGCGTGCAGGCTTCTGACAACCCAGGAGACGGGGGCGGGAGTGACTGGCTGGCGATTCACACCATTGCTGTAAATAATCCTTGCAGCCCCCAAAAGGGGTGGGAATTCACAAGTGAGGGAGGAGGAGGAGGAGGTGGTGTCCAGCCGGCCTGACTGCGCCTGATCGTGCTGGCACCACCTTAGCAAAGTGTTCACATACACGCCAGTCATGTGTTTCCCAGATTTGTTGTTTGTTTGTTAATTTATGCATCAGGTTTTCGTAAATCTCCCTCCCCCATCTACTGTATGCAACAGGCACCGTGAGTTCTCCGAGTCCAGTGCCCGTGAAACTCTTTGGGGATGTTCTCCCATCCAGCTTGATTCTTTCTATGAAAAAAAAATATCTTCATTTCCCCCCACCCACGTCCCCTCCACCCCCCCCTTCTGTATTTTGGAGTTGAGTTTGTTAACCTCTTGTGACAAAATAAATAAGTGCATGCGGCATCTCTTATGTAATGGTCAACCGTGTTGCTAACAACCACTGCAGTGATTTACTTAACAACTCTGGCAAGAGAAGTCGTGAAATGGGGCAAAACGTCCTTAACAAGTGTTAACAATAATAATAGAGTTGGAAGGGACCTTGGAGGTCATCTAGTCCAACCCCCTGCTCAGGCAGGAAACCCTATCCCATTTCAGACAAATGATTGTCCAGTCTCTTCTTAAAAACTTCCATTGCATATATTTTGGTTTGGAGAAGATGGATAGATTATATTGAGCGTAAATATGGGACCAAAAAATATCATTTGGTTTTTGAGTGAATTTTAGAGTATTATTGTTGTATAAAGGTTAGAATAGTTTACTTAGTACTATTTTTAATTATTAAAGTGATGTTATTATTATTGTTTTTAATAACTGTATATTTGTTTAAAAGAGAGNTTTAAAAGAGAGTTAAAGGAGGTTATAGATATGTTATTTTAATAGTTGATTAATGTTAGTTAGAGTATGATTATTTTATTGTTAACCCTGTGATTGGCACTGGGAAGTGAGGGGGGAGGGAGGGGGGAGTGGAAGGGTGGGTTGGGGAAGGGGGGGATTTATATTGTAAAATTTTATAAAATTTTCAATTAAAAAAAAACTTCCATTGTTGGAGCATCCACAACTTCTGGAGGCAGGTTGTTAATAAAATAATAATAATAACAACAACAACAACAACAATAACAATAAAAGTTGGAAGGGGCCTTGGAGATCGTAAGATGAAGACTGCCTGAATTTGACGTAATATGGACAGTGGAAAAAGTTTATCTCTTCTCCCTCTTTCCTGGCTGTCTGAAAAAGGAGGCGACGACAAACCACTTTTGAAAACCTTGCCAAGCAAGCTGCAAAGCGATTCGAAGGCCTGCTGGCCCAGGGAGCGAGACTCCGACGGGTGCGCCCTCTTTTCTTCCAGGGACCCGGTCCCCTCAGGTTCCAAAGCTTCCTTAGCTTGTTGACGCCGTGAGCTTGAAATTATGGAAGTGCGTCCAGTACTATAATTGGTCCAGGCTACACGTGGCATCACAAGTCCCCCAGCAAAGTGACACTTGAGCAAAACACCCTCTTGCAATTCTCAGTTGAGGCTTTTCCCAGAAAAAGAAAAGATTGTGCAACCGTTCTATAAATGTCAGCTGGAACTAAACCCTCCCTCCGCAAGAGATTATTGCGTATATTGTAAACTTGGCACAGCTCATTTCCCTCCCGCCCCCCACATCGTTCCTTAAAAACAGGGCACCTGTCCCTTTCAGGAAAACTGGCTCCAGGTCTGTTATCCAAATGCCCCCCCCCATAGCCTGCTAGGCTGCTCTTTCCTCTTACCAAATTGGCAGCTTTGAATTTTGAGCCAATCTGATCAAGTGTCCGACTTCTGCGGCTGGCAGGAGGGTCAGTTGAAAAGAAAGCCCCAGAGATTATACACACGTGCGCAAATTTTGAGCCCTGGGAAGAAAGTCTCCAGCGCCAAGTCTCATTAATAATAATAATAATAATAATAATAATAATAATAATAATAATAATAAAGTTGGAAGGTACCTTGGAGGTCATCTATCCAACCCCCTGCTCATGCAGGAAATTTGAAAGTACCCATCTTAAATGTCTGTGGAGATTCTCTGTCATCCAGGACATGGCTGTCCCGAAGGTGCTATAATAATAATAATAATAATAATAATAATAATAATAATAATAATAATAATAATAATAAAGTTGGAAGGGACCTTGGAGGTCATCTAGTCCAACCCCCTGCTCAGGCAGGAAATTTGAAAGTACCCTTCTTAAATGTCTGTGGAGATTCTTTGTCATCCAGGACATGGCTGTCCCGAAGGTGCTATAATAATAATAATAATAATAATAATAATAATAATAATAATAATAACAACAATAATAATAAAGTTGGAAGGGACCTTGGAGGTCATCTAGTCCAACCCCCTGCTCAGGCAGGAAACCTACACCATTTTGGACAAATGGCTGTCCAGTCTCTTCTTAAAAACTTCCAGTGTCGGAGCCTTCACCGCTTCTGGAGGCAGGTTGTTCCACTGGTTGATTGTTCTAACTGTCAGGAAGTTTCTCCTTAGTTCTAGGTTGCTTCTCTCCTTGACTAGTTTTTTTTTTTTTCAAGAGGCAACTGGACTTCCTTTGTTTTTGCTTGAAGATGTTTCTCTTCTCATCCCAGAAGCTTCTTCAGCTCTGACTGGATGGTGGGGAAGGGAAGGATTTATACTCCTTACAGACAGCTGGTCATTTGCTTTCTTTTAGAGCAGGGGTAGTCAACCTTGGCTCTTTTATGACGCGTGGACTTCAA